CAGCTGTCATGTTTTGAGGTGGTCTGATGGTAGTGTCATGGTTTGAACGTCTTATGGGAAGTCAAAATCTCTTGCACAGCCTCAGGATGTCTGATTTCTGCAGTGGAACTGCTGTTCTACTTTATTTCTTCCATATCTTATAGCCAAGATGTAGCTGATTAAAATTAATGCTCCTTGATTACTGTAACTTTTAGATTTTGCTGCTGCTTCAGTCTTGAAACAGCCTAGCAAATAGCCCAGTAGAAAGCAAAACCTGATGGTTTATGCCTTTGGAGCTGTTAGTACTCTTCAATCAAAAATGCCTGTCTGATTGCTGGCAAACATAACTTGTACATTATTTCTGCTTACTATATCAAGTGTCTAACATGGTTTCTGACTTCTAAAATGTTTTTGACTGAAGTGTACAGATATTGCTTAGCTACCCTGTGTGGTGGGTTTGTTTTTGATTTGGTAGTTTGTTGGGGTTTTTTGTTCTTTTATAAACGTCTTCACAGTATGCTCACTGGTGATATTGTGTATTCTGAAGCAATCAATGCCAATAGCATATGAGAACTTAATGTAATCCACTTTTAGGAGAACATTGTACTTGTAATGTTATAAATGTTTGTGTGAAGTTGTTACAGGAGCTTTACTTAAATCCTCTCTAGAATAGTTTGAATTAGCTTGGCAGCAGGCTGGTTTACATTAGAATGTGACATTACTGAGGCAGCAGAGAGAGCTCTGAAATTTGCAATTCTCTGTAAATGCAACATTACCTGAACCAGTTTATGTTTTCCTAGTGCTTTCTTGTGGGGCATATTCAAGCAACACTGAACAGCATGTTGGGAGGGATGCCTGGTTGCTGTGGATGATGGCATCTCTGCCTTCAGGTGTATGTGCTGAAAAAGTCATACTTCTGTCATTGTGTTGTGTTCCAGGACATGGGCAAGTAAACTGGTTGTAGTGTAATGCGTTAACATATGAAGTGCTTTGTGTGGTTTTTAATTTCAGGTAATCATGACCATATACTACATTTTTGTGGGGGAATGCTGATTCTGCATTTTACTTGGTATCAAAACATGTTCGGTTAATTAGAGCCCTCTAGACAGCCTCCCTGCATGTCTGGGCATGCCCTCTGCTTTCAGATTTATTCCCCACCCCATGTCCCCCCTTCATACAGGCTTCACAAACAGCTGATGGGTTTGAGTAAATGCTCTGTGATGATTTGCTTGAAAGAATCAAGTTCCAGATGGAATACCAGGAAAAGTGAAAAATTAACAACATCTGCATTGTGACACTAACACAAACTAACTTGAATTCTTGTAGTAATTTGTCAGCCTGTGAGTTGAATAACGTATTGTAATTATGGTTTTGATTCCTGTTTACCTCACACTGGACAAGTGACTGTCCGCCTGCCCTTTAACAGCACATGCCTGGACACCTCTTGCTGGTTAGTAGAAGTGACAAGTCAGATCTTGCTCTGAGCCCAGTTCTGTATGTTGTGGTGTATTTAGTGTATTTCTGCTGAATCTGGGGCTGTTGGGAGTCAATCCCTCCTCTTTTTTAGGAGAGTACTTGCCAAGCTTCTTTTGTTGTGGTTTTTTGTTGTTGTTTGGTTTTGGTTTGGTTTGTTGGTGTTTTCCAAGTGGTGCTGCTGTTACCCCGAGCTCTTATTTCAGTTGAGGAAGGGGGAAACTTAGAGCTCAGATACTGAAGACTTTTTCTGCTGTGTGTAAGCACTGGAGGTATGCAACTGAAGTTTGGTAAGCTGAGCTTTACTGGAGGCAAAACCAGCTGAACTGTTTTGCACTGCACTGTAGTGTGTTGTGGAGGCCAGGCATTCATAATGCTTGATGTAAGACCAAGTCAAAGCAAATTTATTAGTATTTAGTTTAGAGAATTCCTCCAGTCACTAGTTGCCAGGAACAGTGTGTTCTCAGTGAGGGCATCTGTTGTGTCTGTGTTTCTGCTACTGACCCCCCCTCCATGGAGGAGATGCTGGGCTGAGGTTAATTTTTCATTCAGCCTTCTATAGCAAATCTAAAACAAATCAATTTCTCATCACCAGGAAGCGTTTTCATGAGCTTAACGAACACATTGTTATATGGAAAGTTACAGAATGTCAGTTCTTTAAGGAGTAATGTTCATCTAGGTTACAGATTTTTAAATACCATAGCAAGATCCTTAGGAATACCTCTCTTTTTATGCAGGATGCTTTCAGGACTCTAAATGTGAATGTGAAGCTGTATTTTAAGCTGCTCTACTTGTTCATGAAAGTGTTTATTACTGTAGTGATGATTTGCTTTAAAAATAGTTGAGTTAGTAATTTATTTCTACAGATGCTCTGGCTATGTCAAAGTCCAGAGCACTGAGTAACAGACTTATATATGTATATGTCCACCTTGGTATGTGCAACTTTAATGTGCTTCCTCATTTCTCTACTCAGTATCAAATCTGCTTTTATTTTTTTGGAGCTTCTTTAGCATCAGTTGAAACAAACTTCACTTAGCTACCCATGTTGTTTCAAATTTTGGCATTATTAGCTACATATACTGTAAGGTAATGCACCATTCTTTAAATTCTTGTAATTTTATTCTTGCTGAGTCTTGAAGTTGCCTATTTTCTGTAGAATGAAAGCTCTTGAAAAAGGTAAGACTTCTGGTTTGATCCGAGCTACTGCTGAATCAAAATATAATCAACTTTTGTTGCATGACTAGGTGAGCAAGCTGTGTCAAGGGCTAGTATCCAGACAAGCAGAAACAAGTTGCAATGTGTCAAAACAACAGTGAAAGCAAAGTTTGCAAATATTTTTCAGCAGTTGATTTTGTGATTGACTTAAACTAATGGAAAATTATTCAGAACAGATTCTTGCCCTGCCTTCAGGGAAGATTTTTTTTTTAAGAACTCTTCAATCTGCCTTAAGTTTCGTAATTAAAGGTGAAAGTGAGGGTGCTATAGTTGTTTATGTTTCTTCAGGGATTGAATAATAGTCGGTAAGCAAAAGATCTAGATCAGCCTTGAAGAACCAGGAGATGTTTTAGCTAGACAAGTCATTTCATCTTGTGGATGGGAGCGGGGCAGAGGAAAGTGTGCTGTCTGATCTCAGTATCTTTTTTTTCCACGTTTCATGGTCTTTTCACCTTCAATCTGAGTCAGATGTTCAAAGTATCACATAAAGACAAGGTTGTGGGCCAGAATCCACTCTGTGTTTGGTTTATAGTGAGCAGTCAAATTCTTGAAGTTCTACAGTAGTCTTTCTTTGCTCACTGCTGTTTTGTACTCAGAACTGCTTATGAGCCCTGCAGCTTTATACTTTTCATTAGTATGATAAAGGCTTTGTTTTGAATGTAGTCACTCAAGCTGTGCTTCCAGCTGAAGAAAGTAAGATTTAAGGAAAAAAGTGAATTTTGAATAATGCAAAAAGTAACTTACCTTCCCTTACTTAGTGTGCTGGCTTCTTTTTATGCTTTCCAAAGTATTTGTGCATGAAAGTTTGTTTTCTTTCCCTGCTGTGGTTTCCAGAATGGCTTATATGGTTTCTGTGAGGGTTTAAACTTACTTGTTAAAGAACAAATCAAGAGTTGCTTCTCAGAACAAACTTCTTTCCCAAAGTCTTTGATTCCTCTACAAAAATATGTTACAGAATTATTCCTCAATGTACCTAATCAACATTGTTATGCCAGAAGTCTAATATTAGTATTATCAATATTATCATCTTTTCTGATCTTTTTGCAACTGTCTTGTATTGCATCCAGTATTGTCACCATAGTTGAAACAGTGAAATAATTTTGAACTTTAATATAATTCTTATGTAAATTGTGAGTTATGTAAATTGTGAGTTATTCTGCCCACCATCCATACTTAATCCTGATGTACATGTCCTGCTGCACCATATTTCAAATATGTCGTTATATCAGTATCCTTGTTTGAGGACACCACACTCTGATGTCTGCATTTTTGTTTAAACACCAGAGACCTGTTTGTTCATTGTTTTTGATGACAAGTGTCCTTCTTCCTGCTCTTTGATTGGAGAGTATAATGTGTCATTCCAGACAGGTGAAGGTGTTCAACAGGTGTTCATTTTCATCAGTTGGGAAGCTGACCTTTGTCCATGAATGCATGTTCAGCCAGATTCCCTTGTCAGATCCAGTGAACTTCTTCCTACCCGTTCAGGTTTTAATTGCTCTGGAAGCCTCCTTCTGGCAGATTCCCCACCCACTGCAACCATATGTTATAAATCTGAAGCTCTTCCTGCCTCTGGTCTCATTTCTCGTACTAGGAGCTTTTCATATGGAGTGCTACAGAGGTCATACAGCTGCTTTGGACAGTTTGATCTTCTCTCTCATTCACATCCTTGTAGTTTTGGTTCTTGGGTGCAGTCTTGGTGCTCGTTAGGAGCTTGTCACTGTATGTTGCAAGGGCTCTGTGCTGTTTTTTGTTTGTGAATCTCCACCCCATATGTGGTAAGTTGTCTTCCATCGTCTGTCCATGTCAATCCCACCCCTTTGCCTTTCCATTGGGTTTTGGGTGAGGGTATATGGCTCTGCTCTGCTGGAGAGGACATTGGAATTGTTTTGTCATTTGGCTAATCTTGTGTCATCTTTATATAGAAGATGGAGACAGTTAACTGATAAGGAATTGCTTTCCGGTGACTCTGCATCTACGGGGTCCCATGTGTATCTACATTTGGCTGCCCCACCAGCATGGGGGCAGTGTACTGCTGCAGCCCCAGGGCTGATCACAAACCTCCCTCTCCTCTCCATTTCAACTCAGATGTCTTAAATAACCCTTTTGAAATCTTCAGCTGCCTCTGCTATGCATTCCTGCCTCAAAGGGCAGGAAAAAGACCTTGAGTGCAGAGAAATAACAGTCTCTAGGTGCTTTGCATCAAGGGATGAGGACTGAAGTTTTTCTTCACTGGGATTCTATGTTGCTGATGTCTGAAGACTAGGAACTTGGGAATGCTTGCTGTCTTAAAATCCTGGTTTGGCTAACTTTTTAAAATTTCTTTTTAATTCCAGAACATTTGAATCTTCTTGGGAAACATGAAAACAAAGAGCTGCTTTTAAAATATCTTTCAGGACAATTGACACATTCCAGGGAAAATAATTTTTTTTTTCCTGCAAAGTTCAGAAGAATCTGCATTCTCTGAGATTTTAAAGAATTATAAAATGAAAACGGTTTAAAATTTAGCTTTCAAAATGAATGTTGGGAAGTCCGATGACAAAGCAAAGAATGGCTTGAAGTCTTCCTTACTTATAAGGGATGAAAATGGAAATAGCTATGCGTGTGACAGAGGTACACCTTCCTCAGAGAATTGTGCCGCCAAGATACATGGTAATTCAACTGCCCAAAATATAGTGGCTGAGCATGAAGATGGTACCATTTTTGAAAATAAGGGTGACTTCAGAAGTCTTTTAAAACAGCAGTGTATTGAAGTACTTGATGTGCAGAAGACACCTGGTAAATACAGCTGCACAGGACTTCCATCGGGTGATTCAGATGCTGCACGCAAGTCTTCTGTGACTGAGCAGACTTGTATGTGTCCTTTGAACTGTGGCTTGGAAGCAACGACAAGCTTAGTGAAAGGTGATTTTGCTATGGCAAAAATGCAAAGTCAGAGTATCAAACACTCAGTGCCTTACAGTCAGACTGACTCTAAGTCTGTAGTAACTCTTCCTGCTTCAGAGCAGAGCATGCAGTCCCTGAAAAATGACGGGGCATGCTGCCAGCTGAGCACATTGGATGTTACTAATGTTACAGGTGAAAATCTGAGAACTGATCAAAATGATGACATACATGTGGGGGAAACATTGGTCTCTTCTGAAGTATGTATCTCAGAGAAGTTTGACAGAACCAGCTCAGAAAGAACACCTAATTTCACCTCTGCAGGTGTTGAACACAATCAAAAAACCACTATCACGAATGCTAATGAATCACAGGAAACACAAGCACAGGCTGTAGAACTACCTGCTGGATGTATAGATCCTTATAAGCTAGATGCATTATCACCATGTATTAATGAGGATGACCAAGTGAAATCCTTGCAGATTACTCCTTTCCATGACGAAACTGGGAATTCCAGTGCTGAAACATGCATGGATAGTGTTGTAAATAGTGTGCACCTTGTCCCAGTAGATCAAATGGATGGAGAACAAGTATCAAACAAAACTAGTGAACCTTTAACCAAAGAACAAAGTATCTCTGGAAATGCTGCTCTTCAGAATATGCACAACATTCCTTCTGTATCTTGCAGTGTTCCAAAATTAAAGAAGACAGTTATGCCTGAGCTGAAATGCGAAGCAACTTTTTTGGTCTTCAGTCCAACAGCTAATGAAAGCAATTCATCTCTGTGTACTTCAACTCCTAAAGAACGATCAAAAAATAGGACTTTCTCTGTTCCAGCTTTGGAAGAACTTGAAGACAAGTCTTCTAGACTAAGACAAAGTGAAGCATTTGTAGGAGGACATAACAGACTGGGGCTTAAAGCTATTTCAGATCAAACTGCAAGAAAAGCAATATGCCGGTCTGCTATGGCATCAACAATAACCAAAGCAAGGAAATCAGAGATAGTTAGTTTTCCCAAACCTAATTTTAAAAATGTTAAGCCAAAGGTTGTGTCTAGACCTGTGCCACAGCCAAGAGACAGTGCAGCATCAAAACAGTCTCCCCAGTCCCCTCAACTATCATCTGTCTCCTCACCTTCAAGGGTTGGTTCCCCAAGGCCATTGTCCTCCTCTATAAAAGTGCTGAAAAAAACAGTAGATGCAACTAAAGATACTAAGGTGGGATTGCCTGTAAATAAGCCTCATAAGCTACCTGTTAACAAACACCTTTTCACTAGCCAGGTCGGTCATGCCACAGCACATCCCAGAAATGCTTTCCATAAGGTTTCAAAAACACCTGCGTTAAAGTTAAGTCTGCAAGACATTGACAAAGCAAGTGCTACCCATCCGGTGTGCTCCTTGGCTTCTGCTGCGCTTCCAGCATCTGGAGAGAGCTCAAAAGAGATGTTAAATGATAAAATGGAAGTGACACCTTGTTCTCAAAACATCGACCTGACCAAAGGTGAAAAAGAGCAAAGCAGCAACATGGGAGTGCTTCTGGAAGCAACATTGATAAAAGATATGGCAAATGAAACATTTGAAGTGCACTCTGTTCCTTTGGTAAGTTTTTTTGCTTTCATGCTTACTTGTATGCTTTGTACATTTGCAGAAAAGGAAATTCAGTATTGCACAGTGTGAAAATTGTGGAATGGGTTTGGTGTCTACAAATGTAACTGTAGTGTTGATTTCTACATAAAGTCTCTTCCTAGTAAAGAAAGTGAAGAAGTATTGTAAAGTCCTTTTTTAAGATCATACAGTTTGTAAGATGTCTAATAAAAGCAAACAAGTCTTAATTTAGTCAACCTTGTACAATTGCCTAGCATAACTTGGTGAAGTTTTCTAAATACAGCTTTTAATGTACATTTCTTCAAGATTATTGTAGTGGTGGTGTAACTTCAAATAGAAATTAGAGATAAATTGCTGGGTTTGGAATTTTTCTTTTCTTTCAAAATGTGCTTTAGAACTAAAGTAGGCTTTTTAAAATTAGTTGTGTAAATGTTGTGCACATATGAACAGTAACATTAAGTCACATAAAACCCACAGACCAGTAAGTTGGTGAAACATTTTTATTTTAACATCTTAATTTCAGTGTCTTCTTTATATAATTTGGGAGTTTATTTATTTGAAGTAGGGCTGGGACTCATTAGAAGAGTTGGGAGTAGTCAGGAAATATTTCTCATTCAGAGGGCATATACCTGGTTTTAGGCAGTCAGCCAGCTGGAAGGTGCAAACTTCCTGGCCGGGAGGTATGCATGTGTTGGTTGGTTGGGAAATATTTTGGGATGAGTCAGCTGCCTGTCAGGAGAAATGTGCTGCTTTCAAATGCACTGAAAGAAGGTTAAAAGAAAAGGAGAAGGTGAAAGAAGGGAAGAGTGTCGGGGTTGGGTTGACCAGGATTTCAGGAGGTGTGATAGGGACACAGAATTGGAGTCTTGGTGCTTTTTGGAATCTCTCCTGCTGCTGGCTTGTGGATTAAATAGCTTACATTAAATTGGTGAAATGCAGGCAGCAGCTGTTACTGGTAAAACTGTTGTTGTCTGCGTTTTTGACAGGCCTTACTAAGTTGCCAGAAAAATTCCAGTGAAGCTCGGTATATGGGGGAAGGTACTTAAAACATTTTTCAAATATTGCACAAGAAAGTAATAAGTACTATTATTTGACTAATAATTTAACTTGAAAACCTAAGTAAGCATGAAAGCAAGGATGATCTGTTTTAATTCTACAGTCTTTAAGACTTACTTTTGGTATGAAGAGTTGGAGAGAATGCTTTTAATTCATTCCATTGCCAAAAAGGAAAACTATTTGTGATTTTAGTTGCTCTGCATCTACCTGTAGAAGCAATAGAGAAATTTGTATAAAATGCGCAGTAGACCAATCAGCTGGATTAAATTTAAGAAATGGTCTTCTTAAGTGGAAAAGTACAAATTAACATCTGAAAATTATGATGAGGATTGTAGTCAAAAATGGGACATTTGGTACTCTGACCGAATTGCTGCAGTCAGCTTGAGTCACAGGAAGAGCACAGGAAGAGCTGAACTGTAAATTGTGTCTTTATAGGCTTGACTGGAGTGGCCGTGAACTAAAGGCTGTATAAACTGGAGAAAGAAACATATAAATGAGTTTCACACATATAAACCAGTTATTTTATACCTGTCCTGGATCTACTCCTGCACTTATGTTTTATCTATGGCACCTCAATGTGAAGGATTTTAAGCTGTTGTGACATAAGACCTAGATCAGGAAGCTAATTACAAGGACTGTGACATTTCAGGTAGTACAGGACAACTAACTTTTCAGGGCCTTAGCATGTGTAGTTCATTGGTTAAGATCTTGAGAGTAGGTGTAGTCATGTAATTAAGTGTTTTAATTAGAGTTTGGGGTGGAAGAGGAAGAAATTCTGATGACCTCTGTAACCTCTTTTTAGTGTGTTGGTCATTACTAGTGATTAGCTTCAAACTAATAGGTTTGCATTGCTGAAGGCTATTCAGGAGATTGTTCTTGAGGTTCTCAACTGCAGATGTGGACAATGGGATAAAGACTAAGCATGTTTTCTACTGGGGTGGTCAGTATTTCACTACAGATGCTGCAGAGGGAGATCTCTAGTTTCTCCTGATGGTGTGTGGGTTGAATTGTTGTTGGCTTTTTTGTTTCTGTTTTTTTTTCTTAAAACAGATGCCTTCTGTGAAAGATGGGACAACACAAGGGAAAAACATACCAAAGAAAGACCAAATCACACTACGAAGTGTATTAACTCCCAAGGTTAAAATGGTGCCATCTGTGTCGACCTTGAAGAGAGGATGTGAAAATAAAACTATCAGCACTATTAAAACACCTTCTCACAAAGAAGCTCTTCTGTCATCAAGCTGTGGTAAGAGAATTTTTCACAGGAATATTACCACTTAACCAGTTTCTTAAAATTAAGGTATCATACTTAATGTACTTTCTGACTCAACTTTTAGGGTGGTACAGAGCTATATGTCAATGTTAAATACAATACTGTCTAAATTGTAAATTGGTAATACTGGGTGTGGTGCTATTAGAAAAATCAATATTAAATATTATTTATATTTGGTTATATTATAGTATTTTGTGAAATTACAACTAAAGTTATGTAAAAGAGGAGAAAATAGAGTGCTCAGGTGCAATGCTCTTGTGATAAGCAACTACATGCTATCCCAATGGGAATGAGTACATATTTCAGAACATAACATATTTTGTTCAACCTAATTTTAGTACAGCTCTGTAGTTTCTAGAAAGGGGAGAACATAATTGAAGGTGAGACTACTGCTTGAGCTGCTAATTAAGCTAAGACTGATTAATAGCAAGGGCAGGGATGAATCTCTCTCTCATCTAGTCTGTAGGCTGCTCCTCAAATCTCATGACTAGAAACTACATTCTGTAACTGTATTATAGGGATTCAGAAGTGCTCTGGTAGGTTGTGTGCTGGGGTTTTTTAACCAAGTGTGGCAATCTAACTAGCTGCAAAGGTAGCCTGTCTGTGAATGACTACACTACAGTGCACTGTAATTTGGAAGGTACACACCCAGCTATACCCAGCAAAACCTGTTCTTTTTTTTTCTTTTCTAACCCACTCAATCTAAGATTATAAAACAGTAAAAAAAACCTCCTCTTAATTATATACAGGTGATGAAGTGTGATAAAATCTGTATATGTATTCCTTTATGGGATGAGTCCCTCAAAGAAAGTGAGTATAGGCTGTTCTCCCACTTGAGGCTTGCTCATGTGAGGCGCTTGCTTGCTCAGTGAATCAGGCACCAACCTGTAGGCTGCCAGTTTCTTGGAGAACTCATCACCCCTCTAAATACCAACCCAAACCTTTCCTGTCTGTAATTATGGCCTTAGAAGAAGAGAGATGGATGTAGATATAGAGTTTTCCTTTAGGTTATTAATCCAGATAGGATTTATGATATTGTCACTAGAAATAAATGTAAGCACAGGTGAGTTACAGGACTAACTTTTTCCCTTCAGAAAAAAACCCCCAAAACTTTCGGAAGAAACAGAAGTCATTTGCTGTTGAAAATAAAAGCATTTACTCCCCAGATTTGTTTTTTTTTTTAAATAAACCTGTCACTCCTTAGCCAGTCGTGACAGTAGTCAGTAGAATATTTTCCAGATTTTTCCTACAGGAAAAAGGCTGCTTAAACTAAAAGCAAAAAGCAGCACTTCAACATTTCAAACCTGTGGTGTGATCTGGCAAGACTGGAACTTTAATGCTGCACGTGAGAAGAAATTTGTTTTCTCCATGCCCTTTTCCCAGTTCCCAGTTTCGCTGGTCCTAGCACGTATTACCCTTCATCTTGTTTATACAGTGTTTTGGTGTTACAAAGTAGAGTTTGATGCATTCAGCTATATCAGGTTAGCTTCCCCATCCCTTACAAAGGGAGTTTTTAAACATGTGTCCTTGCTCCTTGGCAGACCTTGTACTGATGCAGACCATAGGATAGGATTATGAGGTGGGATATGGGACAAAGTAGGAGTTATTTGGGATTGCTGCTAAAGCCCCACACCTCTCAGGTAAAACCATACTTACTGCTGCTTACCCCTTCTGTTTTTAACGTTTTTGAAGTAAAACTGTACATCCACTTTTTGTGACAAAGTGGCAGTTTGTAAACCAAACCCAGTTACCTCTTTAGGCTAAAGCATTCCTGAAGGGAATAACTGTTTTTTCCTGTGGAGTCATTGGAATACTTTGGTATTAAACTTCAGCCCCCAGATAAATCATTCAGTAGCTGTACAGTTGTTTGCTGTCAGGATTTTGTCAGACTACAGACAGACTAGCTAAATCCAGAAAGGAAAGGACTTCTGAAGGTCGCCTAGTCCAGCCCCTGCTGCCTGTAACTGGGTCATTACTGAATTCAGACTACGTTGTTCAGTTGTTTGTCAAGTTGAGTTTTTAAAATTTCCAAATCTTAATGAACTTGTTTTTTCCTGAGGTACTAACATATGTGCACCTCACCTGAACAGAAGACAGTAGAAGGAGAGCAGAACTTCTACCGCAAACACTGTATTTTTGTGAGGTTATTTGCAGAGCATATTAGGCTAGAAATAACTGGATTTATTTATTTCAAAATGGTTACTGAGCATTGTTCACCAATATTGGTGTATTTTAGCTGGGACTTGAATTTTTTTTTCTGAATTAGAAATAGCTTCTCTAAAAGACAAATCCAGTGTACCAAAGTGATATGGGAAATGATGAAGCCCCATTTCTTCAACTGTGACCAGATTTCCAGATTTGCTGCAAGCTAGGTGGCTCAAAATTATTTCTGTAACTATTTATGTCTTTCTTCATAAGAGGGGATGACACTCACTCTAAGATAAAAAATCTTAATTCTCTATGGTTAACTTTTCCATGGTGGTGTGCGTAGGTTTCTGTAGTATTGGATGGCAGGCTGTATGTCTTTTGCTATGCTTGTTTTCTGTCAATGAAAACATTTATTAGAATTCAAAACACAGAATAGCATATTTGACTTACCCATTTCTACTGGAAGGGATCTATAATTTCGGAGCCCTGGTGGAGGACTTTGAACTAGTTTCAAAATCAAAGCAACTGTTGTTTCTGTTCCCATGAAATAAACAGAGCCTTCTGATTTGGATGTATCTTAGCCAGTGTGGAGGAGTGATAGCCTGATAACAGTTGAGGTGTTATGGGTTGTGAAGAGTCGTGTCTTTGCCTCACTTGAAGGGAAGAGTTGAAGGGATTGGAGAAGCCAAGGAGCTTTGGTGTTCCCATGGAACATCACTCCCAAGATTTTCTGATATCACACCTATCCCAGCAACTGAATATTACCACCTGTGCAGTTGAACAAAAGCACTGTGACAGTTTGAGCCACAGGAAATTATTTGAACAGCATCAAATAGAAAACTAAATGATTTGCAGTAAATCTAAAATGTATGTGCCCACCAGTGCCTTTTTTACCTTCTTTTGCTAACTACAACCTACCTGAAATTATGTAAAGGAGAGGAGCTTTACCTGCAAGTAAGACTTCTGATATGCTATAACTTCATCTCTGCTTCTGCCTTAAAATTACATCATACTTTAAATTATTTCTCATTGTAAGAAACTTCACATTCTTGTTGATGTTTTAGCTCTGTCAAGATGACAGGCTTGTCAAGCTTTCTATGTAGTTGAAACTCTTTGGGAATCTGAAAGTATCAGTAATACTATTCCTCTGCTTATGGTTAAAAGACTTGCAGAAATAAATGGAAACTCTGTAAATCATCTGTGTAACAGAAATGTCTCTTGTTACCTGATGGTTTTTTCTTTTTTGACATTTCAAGTACTCTTTTGTCTCTGATTTAAATCACTGGTATTCCTTCAGCAGTATAGAGGCCCTGTGCTTTACTTCTAACTTCCATTAATCTAGTCCAGTGGTCACTTCCTTTTTCTCTTGAGGGTATTTTCATAGCATTTAACAAGATCAATGAAAGCTTGGATATAGAGAAGCTTTAAAGTGTAAATTCTGTGTTTCCTTAAAGATATTTTTGAACAAGTGAAACCTTTCCTTTATGAAAAGTTAATCATATTGAAGGACTTTTCCTATGTTCTGCAACTACCAGAAGCATGGGAAAAATAATTCCCCAAATGGTATAAAAAATATGTACAAGCAGGTTTAGTGGTACTTTGAAATACTGATTTTCTTTTTAGTTCATAATTGATTAATTCCTGCAGCTGAATTTTGGCTTGATCATACATTAAATGTGTGATTGAGAGAAGCTTCCATAGTTAAACAGAACAGGCAGTGACAGATTACGACTCAGTTTGTTACTGAGTGTTATTGCTGTTTATTGCACAAAGAAAGGCTTCTCAGATGGAAAATTCAAGCCAAATGGTTTCAGTCAGTTTTCTTACAGCTGGAGACATATATAAACTTGGTAATTCAGGACTTCTTGGTACAGCCTTTCACAATACAAGTGAAGCAGGACCAAAACAATTTAGTTCCACTGAGCATTCCCACAGTCCTTGAGTTTTTGTTCTGACACTGAACTAGGACCCAATCCAAATATAGTTACTGAAAATAATTTTTCAGCTTGTATGATTCCTGTTATCTACCACGTGACTCTTTAAAGCTGGATTGACATACTGCCAAGAGGAAACAAAATATTTGAAAAGACAACATAACTTCCAGGTTCTCTGGATTGAAACAGTCATGACTTTACTCAAAATTCTAGAATAGACAGTCACTTGTAAAGGTGTTCATATATTTTCTCTATAATTATATAAGCAGGTCTGGAATGCACCAGGGTCTACAAATAAGGCTTAAAATTTCATTTCAGCCAGTCTTTATGCACTTTTCTTTTACAGAACAACCAGGTCTGTTATGGATCTTAAAAGCACGTTCTTCATACACTAGCTTACCCAAGATGATTATTTGTCCTTCTTAGTTGAGATTAATGGGTTTCAGTCTCATTTTCTTTAATATATTTGTACTAATTTAAACCTGTGTTAAAAGTGAACTTAAAACTTATATGTTTCCTTTCAGAGGTATAGGAAGGAGGAAACTTATACATGGGTCTCCACAGAACACAAGATCTCTAGTCCATAGTATGAGATAAGGCTTGTCTATGATCCTTCTTTGGTCATCATAATCCAGACATCTTCTCTGCATAGTGATTCTGTATCTTGTAACCAGTTGTCTAAGCTGGGGAAAAACTTACTCAGTGTATCCAAAAGGACTTTTGTCCAGTTGAAGAATTTGTGAGAGTTCAGAAAATAGTGTTAATTGTGAGGGCCTCAGAGCCTTGCTGTTTATTGTTTCTCCAGTCAGTTGAGTTGGACTTGCCTGGTAATGTTTCCAGCCTACTTTGCCCTTAGTTCCGGGACATCCTCAAAAGGAATGCTTTACTGGA